TGGAGGAGACAGAAGCACAAAAAAGAATCCAACTTAATCTGTGGCACATGTTTAACCAAGGACAAACCCACATCCCACACACAGAGCATCACTGGTGAGATTTAGATTGCTTGCATTCATTGTTATGTTCGGCAGTTATTCAATACTGCCTATCTTGTATTTGGTTCTCATTGTATGTATTCTTATTTTCCCCAGTTTCACCATATCCTATTCTTTCAATAAAGCATCCAGAACTATGCACATGGTCTGCTTTATTGGAGGATAGATGGGTTTAGCTGTATGTTGAGCTGCACACAGACTAACATGTGGTGAGGACCGTACAGATATCATTAAAAAATTAAATAAAAGATATTAGATTGCGCCTTTTTAATCTGATTATCCCAATTCATTACCATTCCCCATAATTACTATTCTTACTTCAACATGTTGAAAATCTCATTTTTATTTTTTTTCAGTGACTGCTATTCTGTCTTATCATTATTATGTCATCAAGCCTAAAGAACCCCAGGTAACTAGCCCTTAAATATGAAACAAAAATTCTTAATACTCTTCTTGATTGTGGAACAATTCTCGATCATCTTCTGACTGAACCTGTTCCCAGGACTTCCCAAATTCCTGAAAAAAATGAAATAAAAATGTGTTAAGCAAACTAAAAATTTTGGATTTATTCAGAGATACGACATTCTAAGTTAGAAATGGAAACTCTCAGCTATCCTTTCCCTTGGCAATATCCACTGAAGAACTTGAATGCTGCAGCTTAGTAACATCTGAAGTCACAGGTTCACCTTTATCTGATCTACATTTTGGCTGTACTTTATCTGATGGGGTATTTAAGATAAAATAATTTTATAGTTTTGTATGTAAAATATTAATTCTCTCAGTTGGAAATGTATTTCTCCTTGTGAAAAGAACTCAAATGCAAGGAAAGATGGGAGTTCATCAAGAGTGCACAACAAGCATGACAATCCCTTACAGGAACTAGATTTTGACCCATATCACAGTGGGACGCAAATTGATGGAACGCAAATTCAGTTCATTTCTTAGGTTTACTGAATTTTGTAATGGTTGTATTCCTGACTCATATGATAAATTTGTGTGATTCAAAAAACAATCCTAACAATTAAGTACTCCTGGCAAGCTAGAAGATTATGAGTGTCCGGAGGAATTGAGCAATTTCCTATATTCCCCAGTGTTGTGACTCCGAGATTTGAACCTGATCAGTCAGCAGATGTGGGTTCGAGCGAGGAAGAAGATCTGGCACTGAGATTCGAGCCTGCATTATTAAGTGACTTAGAGGGGAGTCAAGTAGAGGGAGAGGAGTTGGATTTGAGAGATGAACCTGATTTATTGGAGGATTCAGAGGCCACTCTCTCCCCTGAATCTACTTCCCTAATTAAACCTCAGGTGTTAACTGTTAATCAGGAAAGTGTGTCGGAGGTTTCAAGCAGAGATGAAACTGCCGGATGCTGGCTGGATGCCAGAACTAGGAGAAGATTGAGATGTCAATCTCAATTAGAAAAGAGACGTCCAGCAAAGGATTAATTAATGAGATTGACACGCCCTCTCTTAGAGGATATAAGGGAGCGTACGACTTTGCAATCTTTGCTGGAAACAAAGTGGATTTTGCCTTGGAAAGAAATGCGTCTGACTACTGCGTTGTGATACAGAATTGCCGGACAGATTCTAGGAGGATTGCCAAAGGACTGTGATAACAGAGCAATTGAATCTTCTGTCTCTGGTTTTGTTTACGTAAAGTATTTGAACTCTGTAACTTGAAGTTTCATCTGTGGATACAGGTGGGACAGAACACCCCAGTATAACTTAAATTTAAGTTTACTTTATTGTCATTTCAACTCATATAATGAAATGAAATGCCATCTTCAGTGTACATTATACATTAAATTAAATAAATAAATAAAACAAAACACACATCCTTCACATTCTATACAATTGAACTGAAAAGCACAAACCATCCCCAAAGAATTAGTGGAGGCGTTCAATGAAAAGGAATGCAACGTTCTAACCCCCATCATCCTATGGATTGTTCAGTTGAGATCCCGTTAGGGACAAAACTCCCGAAGCCCAAGATGTACTCAATGACTTGAAGGAGATGGGGGAGTTGAGAGAGAGTACATCAATAAAAACCTGGCCGGGGGCTTCATTCACCCTGCAAAATCAGCCTCCGTGCTGTTCAAGGAAAAAAAAGATGGATCATTGATGTGTAGAGTTTAGGGGATAAACTGTACGCATGTGGAAAACATATACCTGGTCCCCCTTATGAAAGATATGCTGGGACATTTAGCCAAAGAGAAGGTGTTCATCAAACTGGACCTCAGGGAGTGCTGTGGTTAGCTGGCAGCAGGTGCGGACGGTGGAGGAGAGCGAGGACTCAGATGAGGGGCCAGGATCATTAGGGAGTGGACTGCTGCCTTCAGATTGTGAGGGCTGGCAGCAGTGATGAGGAGGTTCCCAAGGAACCTGTGCCAAGGGCGCGTGCACGTAGGATTGCTCGTAGGAGAGAGTAGTTACAGCAGCATGGGCGACTCGGGAGTAAGGCTGCAAAGTAATGGCCCCTCCCTCAAGAAGATAGAAAACCAGGTTTGAAGAAGAATTCTTTGCAGAAGACAAAGACACTCTGAAACTCAGCCTTGTAGACATTATAGTTAGTATTTGAAAACTCTTGTAAACTATTTATCTGTGGGTTTTTGGCAGCCTTGAAGAACAACTTGGCAAGGCTCTTTCTTGTCGGAGCTAATTAGTTGGAAGCAGCCTTTTATCTGTGAAGAAACAGAATGAAACCTTAAAAGGTGTGAGCTGCTGCCTTTGTCTTGTGTTTGCTCTCTTGGAACCAGATTGGGTCAGAACAGGGAGGCATATTACTGAGTGAGAATCAAAGAAGGCAAAGAATGGAAGACCGCCTTCGATTGCCCGTTAGGATGCTACCAGTTTAGGGTGATGGCTTTTGGATTACAGGGAGCCCCAGCTGTGTTCATGCAACTAATAAATGAAATGCTGCACCAGCATCTATACAAAGGGGTCCTGGTGTATCTGAATGACATTCTAATCTATTCTGAGATGATGGAGGAACATGTGAAATTAGTACACAAAATACTGGAAAAACTCCTGAACACCAAGTTGTATGCCAAACTGTCAAAATGAGAATTCCATAAGACCATCCTAGACTTCTTGAATATAGTGTCATGTGAGGGGATGGAGATGGACCTGGGGAAGGTGAAAGCAATCCCCATGGACCTGCAAACAATTGCAAAGTTTCCTGGGCTTTGCAAACTTTTATAGTTAATCCATCCTGTCCTTTGTGAAGATTGCCTTACTGATCACGGAGCTATTGAAGATTGGGGGAGGGGGGGAGAACCAGCCCAGCCAACTGGTAAACTGGATAATGAAATGCCATGTGGACTTTGAGAAACTTAAGAGACTATTTACAGATGAGCTGATCCTAAAGCACCCCAACCCTGAGGAACCATTCGTGATCCAGGCAGATGCCAGCAATGTGGCAGTGGCGGTAGTCCTCCTCCAAAAGAACAAAGAGGGGAACCTGCAACCATGAGTCTACACATCCCGGAAACTGACTGGGACAGAGACATTGGGTGATATGGGAGAAAGAAGCCTGTTGTGGCTACTGATGATATGGAGACAGTTCTTAAAGGGCTGTAAAATCCCTTTTGAAGTATGGACCGACCACAAAGATCTGGAAGCATTGAGAACCCCCTGCAAACTTCCCCCAAAGCAGGTGTGGTGGGCCCAGTACTTCAATTGGTTTGAATTCACATTGAAGTATATCCCCTGGGGAAAGATTTCCTCACTGACACACTATTCTGCATGCCCCAATATAAAAGCATCCAAGAGGAAGTAGTTAATTCTATTATTCCTACGAAACAGTTGGCCGTGCAAGTGACCTCTTGGCAGCAGGTGAAGAAGAAAACCCTGAACCCTAGTGAAGCTTTGACCCAATAGATGAAAAAAGAACTACAAACAGATACAAGTTTGAGGGTCCACCAAAGGGAGTCAACGTTAAGGGGGGAATTGGCTTGGAAAGGAGACAAACTGTACATTCCTGAAAGGCTATGGATGCAAGTCTTGCAACGCAGCCATGACGCTAATCAAGATGGCCACTTTGGGTTCCTAAAAATCCTACACTTGACCAAACAATAGTTCTGGTGGCCAGGCATGAAAAGAGACATAGAAAGCAATGTAAAAAGTTGCACTGTGCTTCCATGAAGCAGAGACCGGGAAAGACCCTGAGATTGCTACAAGCAAGTGGCTGAGCCAACTTGGCCGTGGGAGGAAATAGCCATGGACTTTATAGAGAAGCTCCCAGAAAGTGGGGGGAATACTATAATCTGGACTGTAGTTGACTGTAGTTGTCCAAGCAAGCTCACTTTGTAGCTTGCCCGTCAGCCAAGGAGTTAGCCAGGACGCTTCTGTAGAAAATCTATTGACTGCATGAAGTGACTGCATTATCTCGGACAGAGGGGTCCAATTTACAGCCAAATTCTAGCAGGAATTCATAAGGCTAATAGCCTCCCAGGGTTAGTGTTGTATTCCGAGAACATCGGTGGGAAGAATTGAGGTGAGACAAGCTAATCGGTTGCCAACGGTTTATTAACGCTAACAGTGACAGCTCTGGTTGATCGTAAAGCATCATTGAACATGCCGTCTGACGGCACTTTTATACTGGGCTGTCAGACGAGGCAGTCAATCAGGTTTCAGGATGGCGTCCCCTGTCTGCTTCGGACCGGAGTGAAGACTTCGGACATGGCAGTTAGGGTTAGGAAAAACACCAGGGGAAAGAGATAAAAATGTGAAGGCATCAATCTGTTATATATTGCTTCTGGGGGTAATTATGTCAAATGAGGCAGGCACAGAATGCAGTATACTGTATTCAGAAGTTTCAGAGCTGTTAAAACATGTCAGGTAAATGGTGTATCCATTAAAATAGCTCATAACAAGATTTCATTATGTCATTTGGGAAAATAAAATACTGTAATTAAGTGAGGGATGCCTTACTCTCTAGGATAAACTGTTGGAGTGCAGTAAGATTTATTAATATTGCCGGGCCAGTAAGGTGTTAACATCTCTAACTGCAGGGTTCTGTCAAGAGTACTACACATTTTCCCATGTTTATTTACTTTTAAATAAAAAGATAACAGCTGGAAAAAAGCTAGGGTACGTTGAGGAAATAAGTGTTCTGTCAGAACCACCAGCTCCGGCTTCACGCCTCACCAGAATTGTATCATCAGTGGGGGAAGTGAGGGCTAATCCGCATGGAGCACCGTTTCCAACTGTCTTGTTTGCCAACATTTGCTCCCTAGAGACTAAAATGGATGATCTGAATCTTGAGCTGGCCATGAACAAGGAAGTGAGAAACTGCTGTGCTATTAACCTGACAGAGACATGGTTAAAGTCATCTATTTCAGACAATGCCATCAGTATGATGGGCTTTTCAACATTTCAGCTGGACAGGAGCTGTGCTTTGAGTGGAAAATCCTGTTGTGGGGTGTATGTATTTATATTAATGAGAGATGGTTGTACCAGGCATGATATTCCCCTCTGAAAAAAAAATCGGGGCCGGCCAAAAGAGACACCCCCCACCGCGCGCCAAGAAATCGCTGCCCAGCTCCCTTTTCCTGCCGCTCAGCGGCCTCCGCTCGCACCGCCCGCCCGGGCTCCGCTCGCACTGCCCGCCCGCCCGGGCTCCGCTCAGGTATCCGGCTGGGGCTGTCAGGAGTTGCTACCGCCGGCGCGGCTCCAGTCCCGCGTTGCCTCGGGAAGGGAAAGGCAAAACCAGGAGCCGCTGCTGCCGTTGCAAAGCGCCGCCGCGGCTCTTCCTTTTTGCCTTTCCCTTCCTGAGGCAACGCGGGACTGGAGCCACGCAGAGCCGCGCCAGTGGTAGCAACTCCTGACTCGGGGCCTCCGAGGGAAGGGGAAGGAGAAGAAGGGGGGGGGGAGGGGGGGGGCGATTCCCTAAAAAATCAGAATTCCGATTTTAATCGGAAGAATATCATGTCTGTTGTACTAATGCTAAGGTAGTCTCCAGCCAGTGCTTTCCTGATGTTGAGTGTTTGGCTGTTAAATGTAGACAAGAGAATTCACTGTCATTCTAAACATAGCTGTGTATATTCCCCCCAGTGCCAACAAGAATGAAGCCGCGAGTGTTCTTTATAGCACTATCAATGACTTGCAAACTATCCATCCAGAGGGAGTTTTCACTGTGGTAGGGGATTTCAATCAGACTGACTTTAAAGCAACCCTTCCTAATTTCCATCAATATGTGGACTTTGCTGCTAGAGGTGGGAATACCCTGGATTTAGCTTACTGTAACATTAAGAAAGCATTTAAAGCTGCCCCTCTCCCTCATTTTGGCTCCTCAAGTTCTAACCATGAGTGGTTTATGTTACTTTTTTGCTATCATCCCCTACCCAATAATTATATATGACTTTTTTTGTCTATGCTATAATCAGTGTCTCCCATTTTTCATCATTTTGTCTTTGTAACCCATTTGTATTGTGTGGAAGTGCTTTGTATGTACTTCATGTACATGTGGTTGATCTATGTCAGGGGTCTCCAAACTTGACAAATTTAAGACTTGTGGACATAGCTGGCTGTAGACTTCTGGGAGCTGAAGTCCACAAGTCTTAAAGTTGCCAAGTTTGGGGACCTCTCATCTAGATTATCAAGGAAGAGAGAATAATATGCAGCAGATGCCTAGCAAAATTTAGTAATACTACAGATTGGCTGTTTACACTGAAATCAAATTAGTGATGGTAGGTAAATTATTGGGCAGTTCAGTTTGGTATTTATTTCAGTAAACTGATTTTAGAAAGCTAAACAGGATCAGACCTGGTAAGTACTTGGCTGGGAAGCCAACACAAAATAGGGTGTGAGGAGGAATGGGGTTGAGAAGGAAAGAACGAAGATAGGATAAGATAACTTTTATTGTCATTTTTTTACTATAAGTACACTGGCACACATTAAAAGTTAAATCTATATACATATCCATACACATACATAACACACATATACACATGCTACACACATGCATACACACACAAAAATCATTGCCCATTTTGAATATATAGCGTAAAGGAAGAAAGTATTGGATGCATATACACAAATGTCTAAGCAAGGACCACTTATATTTGGTTTGCCAGTCACATGGCCATCTAGCTACGCCCACCCGTTATATGACCACCTGGCCACGCCCACCCCATCACATGACCACCTAGCCACGCCAGTCAGCAAGCCACGCCCAGCCAGTCACATGACCACCGAGACACACCCACAAATTAGGCCACGCCCACAGAACCGGTTGTTAAGAAATTTGAATCCCACCCCTGACTATAAGGCATCTTCCCTGACATGTAAGACTGACACGTATTTTCTAAACAAGCGAAATAAGTTTTTTGGCCTATTTTGAGGCTGCAAACAATGTTCCAGCAAGGAAGGCTGTTCCCCTTCCTGATGAACAGGTACTCAGGTTTGATACAACTGCCATATGAAAGGTGCTGTGGAAAGTCAACACTCAAAAAGCTGTGGGTCCTGATAATATCCCTGAGTACTTAAAGAGTGTGCAGTTCTCACAGACATTTTCAGTCTCTAGTTGCATCATGTTTTAAGACTGCAATCATTGTACCCAGTGCCCCCAAAATTTATACATGCCTTAATGATACCGTCCAATTGCGCTAACTTCCATTATGATGAAATATTTTGAAAGATTGATAAAGGATTATATGGTTTCATCCCTTCCCCACATTTGACTCATTATAGTTTCCCTATCAGAAATACCACTCTATAGATGATGGAATTTCCTGTGTGCTTCATCTTAGCTTGGTGCACCTGGAGAAGAACTAGATTGTGTTGTTTCTCTGTGTCATATAATATGTATGGGTATAGACATATTTATTTATTTATTTGTCATGTTTATGTAGTGTATGTTGGAGGTGGTGACCCTTTGATAGCTGTATGCAATAAAATTTCATTTTAATGTATGCCAATAATGTACGTTTAAAGTGACAATAAAAGTTTTTTTGTCAAGGGGGGAAATGGTGAGATTGCTGTACACTTCTATGATGACTGAGAGGGGAATTGAGAGGGGAAATTGGCAGTTGAAGAACAAAGCCACCTGGAATCCAATTTGTGCTGGTGCCCTGGCATCCTCAAGGCCGTTTGCCCTAAAGTGTAGAATTTCACCAACTCAAGCATCTCAAGAATTTCTCATAACTTCAGGGGGATGCTGGATTGGCTATGCTATGGACTATGGGGGAAGGGCTAGGGAAACTGGGGGTTTAGTTCTGTATTTCTGCGTGGGAATTCAGATTCTGCTGGACTCTACTGCAATCAGTATTCCTTAGTAAAAGTGCCTTTTTCACTTTAATTGGAGTTGAGAGTTTTACTTCCTTAAGGGATCAAACTGGAGCAGGTCTGAGATTAAGCGGAATCTGCAATTGTGATCAGCCTGGAGAGGACATCACCTCTAATGTGGGGACCATGCACACAATTTTGGCTTGAGGGAGTGACCAGAGATCGAATGCTGGGGGAAGGCTTCATCTAGGCCTCTTCCCGGGTTGGATCTCTCCAAATGGTGGTCCCTGGGAGTTGGAAGAAAGGAGGACTGGGAAGAGAAGACCTTGGCGGTGACTTTCACCTGCGGAAACCATGGCAGTCCCAAGCAGAACAGAGGATGGAGCTGGAAAAACTGGAGGAGGTGGAGGAAGGGACGGGCAGAGAACAGGGCCAAGCTGATTGGATGATGGAGCAAGCCATCAAATTCATGCAGGGAGCTTTCAAAAACCTCAAGGTAAAAGAAACCACAGGTTCTTTGCAAGGTGAGGCTGGCACAGTAGGATTGGAGGGGGGAAGCAGTTTTAGCAAGTAAGGGGGGAATAGGGTGAATGTTGCAGCGTCTCTGCGGTTGTTTGTAACGGCAGATGACTGCCATGTTGCAGCAACATTCATAATTTCAGGACTTGTTGTGTAATTTCAAGCAGCCACAAAATAAACTGTCGTAACTCGAGGATTACCTGTACTTCAAAATGAACAAGGTACAAATAATCTGATGGCATTGTTAACTTTCCTGACTTTCAGTTTTATCACTGGGAATTTTTATACATTTCTCTAGGTACTGCAAGTGATCCAACAAAAAAAAAATCAATACATAGCTACTACCGTATGTGATTTTTGTGACAAGAGCTTGGCCTTTTACTGCCAATTTAAAACATGTGATTTAATGCAGGAGGAATCTGTATTACCTAAAATTGTGAAATAGCAAAGTATTTATATTCAATCCAATTACCTCTTCATTTCATGAGTCCAGAAATATCAACAGGATCTAAAACTCTGAAATTACTATGAGGATTGGAACATAGCACATGTTTTGCATGCTTACTATATTTTTTCTAAACAACTTAAAATATTGCTTAATTATTTGTAGGAGTTCTGAAATAAAGAATTGTAATACATTGTATTAACTAACGAAGGTTTGCAACCTGAGATTCTTTATTTAAGTATATCTCAACCACCTAAGGCTGCCAAGCAATTAATCAAGTATAATTAATCAAGGATTTCTTGACATATTTTATTGTTGATCTAAAATGCAACTTGGTATTAATTCAATATAATTAAAAGGAAATATAAGTTAAATACATACCAAATAATTAATAATATAAAATCTGTCGTATTCTTGGTTTTTAGCATTGATTTTACGATGTTGCTTCTTTCTCATGTGGTCCTTGAGTTTGTTCTTATCCCCAAATGTTTTTTCACAGTATAAACATTGGAAACTAAGAGTTAGCAAAAGAAAAATGAAATTATTATAATACTATCAATTAGCAAAATTACTTGTGATGCTAACCAAAATAGTTCATTTTTAAATATGTAAGACATATAGGCATATCAGAAAGACATTTAAGAAAAATGTTTATTAATAAATCATTCAAGCAACCTCTGCAGCATCTACAATCAACTCTATTCAATTATTACATTGGAGAGGCAGTTTAATGTAATGGGTGTTAGACTATAAACCAAGAGACTGAATTCTAATCCCACTTTAGGTATGAAAAACCAAGCTGGGTGACTTTGACCAATCATCTCTCTCTCTTAGCCCAACTCACCTCATGGAACAACTTATTGTAGTGGGAAAACAAGAAAAGAATATTGGTATTTTTGTGTCATGAGCTGCATATGAAAAAAAGATGGAATTTAAAAAAAATCTAAAAATAAAAATTAAAGTGCCCGGAATCGAGGCTCAAATATCACCTATTTTATTACCAACCCATAACAATATGACTTATTTTATAATTAAACCACAGCAATGGTTTTTTTGTAATAAATGTTTTATTTTTTATAACTACAAAAATATCATTGTGGTTCCGTAGTGTCTTACATTTTGATACAAACATGACAATATTCCTCTTGTTTAATATAGTTGACAATCTTTTAAAATTTGATATTAGTACATATATTTTGTTAAATTATCGATCTTAGTTATTCAATATTGCAGTATGTTATTTTGTATCAATTTATATTTTCTTAATTTCACTCCTTTTACTTCCAATTATATATTAATAATCATATCTGCAGTGTTTACCAGATTATATAGCCTATTAACAATTCACAAATTAATATTAAATTATAATTTTCCATTGTTTATCCCCTATTTAATTTCTAAATATGCCACTATTATATTTTTTTTAAAATTCCCCTTTCTAGTCACATTTTGATAAAAATACAATAGTATTCATCATATTTACATTTAATAGGTTATGCAATTCTAATAATACAGTTTTTTTGTTAAATTATAGCCTTTCATTATTTATACAGTACTTCACAATATTATTTTTATGTCAGTCAAATTCCATATCATTCCTTTTCCTACAATAGCATGTTAATATCATTTATTACCTTTAGCAGTTATCTATCTTAACTAATAATACACAGTTCTATAAAATCATACTCTCCTTTTTTCTTTTAACCATGGTCTCTCACTTGCATTAAAGCTTTAGATTTTCACTTCTTAGCTTGTCTCCCATATTCCTCTCTTACATTTCTGTCTCCCTTTTCTATTATATTCCATTGTATCATTTTCAAGTTATCTACTCTCACCACTATCTTTCTCCCAAAAAATTATCTTTGCAATTCCAATTCCTGTTTAATTTCCCTTATAATACTCTCCCCTTGGTTTAAACCAATCATTATATTTATTTTTATTTCCTCTTTATCTTTGGTTGCTCTCTCAGTTGGCTCCTCCTCTTAGTGGACCTCCTGGCTTTCTTCTTGTCATTTGTGTCTCAATTTCCAACACCGCACCCATGTTTTGTATTTTATTCAAAATTTCCTCAAATCCTCTTGTTAGTACATCTTTTATTTCCTGAAAATCCAACACAATTTCTCATCTTTATTTTGTCTCTTATTTCTTCCCAACCAATTGTCCAACTGTCCTTTATCCAAGCCAAAGCCACTTTTCAAACTGAAACAAAACCAAATATCCAATGTCCAGGGATCTTTATGTCCTGAAGTTGATCAATCTGTTCTTTCAAATAGTCCAAGGGTGAGATCTTCATACATCCCTCTATCAGTTGAGTCTAATATTGTAGCTTTCAAGGGTCTTTTAATAATAAAATTCTCTTATTTCTCCATACACTATGTCTTTTCAAAATTTTGGGGATGTTATTTTTTCCTTTGTCAGAAGGTGGCGGTCTTAAATCAGTTTTCACTTTGTCTCGTCTTTTAATCAGATTTTAATAAATTCCAGATATATCAAAATGAATGTTACGTTCGTTTTTTATATACAGGTGAAACTCAAAAAATTAGAATATCGTGCAAAAATTCATTTATTTCAGTAATGCAACTTAAAAGGTGAAACTAATATATGAGATAGACTCATTTACATGAAAAGTAAGATAGTTCAAGCCGTGATTTGTCATAATTGACAAATGAAAACCCCAAATCCACAATCTCAGAAAATTAGAATATTACATGCAATCAATAAAACAAGGATTGTACATAGAACAATATTGGACCTCTGAAAAGTAGAAGCATGCATATGTACTCAGTACTTGGTTTGGGCTCCTTTTGCAGCAATTACTGCCTGAATGCGGCGTGGCATGGAAGCTATCAGCCTGTGGCACTGCTGAGGTGTTATGGAAGACCAGGATGCTTCAATAGTGGCCTTCAGCTCTTCTGCATTGTTCAGTCTCATGTCTCTCATCTTTCTCTTGGCAATGCCCCATAGATTCTCTATGGGGTTCAGGTCAGGCGAGTTTGCTGGCCAATCAAGCACAGTAATCCCACGGTTATTGAACCAGGTTTTGGTGCTTTTGGCAGTGTGGGCAGGTGCCAAGTCCTGCTGGAAAATGAAGTCAGCATCCCCATAAAGCTCGTCTGTGGAAGGAAGCGTGAAGTGCTCCAAAATCTCCTGGTAGATGGCTGTGTTGACCCTGGACTTAATGAAGCACAGTGGACCAACACCAGCAGATGACATGGCTCCCCAAATCAACTCAGACTGTGGAAACTTCACACTGGACTTCAAGCATCTTGCAGTGTGTGTCTCTCCATTCTTCCTCCAGACTCTGGGTCCTTGGTTTCCAAATGAGATGCAAAAGTTGCTCTCATCAGAAAAGAGGACTTTGGACCACTGAGCAACAGACCAGTTCTGTTTTTCTTTAGCCCAGGTAAGACGCTTCTGATGTTGTTTGTTGTTCAGGAGCAGCTTGACAAGAGGAATACGACATTTGAAGCTCATGTCCAGGATCCATCTGTGTGTGGTGGCTCTTGACTGACTCCAGCCTCAGTCCACTCCTTGTGAAAGTCCCCAACACTTTTGAATGGCCTTTTCCTGACAATCCTCTCCAGGCTGCGGTCATCCCTGCTGCTTGTGCACCTTTTCCTTCCACATAACTTTCTATTAATGTGCTTTGATACAGCACTTTGGGAACATGCAACTTCTTTTGCAATTACCTTTTGAGGCTTTCCCTCCTTATGGAGGGTGTCAATGATGGTTTTCTGCACAACTGTCAGGTCAGCAGTCTTTCCCATGATTGTGCTTCCTACTGAACCAGACTGAGAGACCATTTAAAGGCTGAGGAACCCTTTGCAGGTGTTATGGCTTAATTAGCTGATTAGAGTGGGACACTTTGAGCCTAGAATATTGAACCTTTTCACAATATTCTAATTTTCTGAGATTGTGGATTTGGGGTTTTCATCAACTGTAAGCCATAATCATCTCAATTATGACACATCACAGCTTGAACTATCTTGCTTTGCATGTAATGAGTCTATCTCATATATTTGGTTCACCTTTTAAGTTGCATTACTAAAATAAATGAACATTTGCACGATATTCAAATTTTTCGAGTTTCACCAGTATATTTCAGTATTTTTATAAATGCCTATCCAAAGCCAATGTTTATTTAATCTAAAAATCCATTTTTTTATATTTTTAACAAATTTAGTTTTCTTTCTTCACTTCCTTCCATTTTTATAATGTTAGTGTTTACTCCAGTAGCTAGATCGCAGCCACTTAATATAATTGAGTCCTCTTTTCTGAATATTCTTCTCAGGGTTATATTTTAAAGCAAAAAGGATAGTTCTCACCCAGTTCCACACTGTCACTAACTCTGCTCCTGCACTTTTCTTAGGTTGAAGCTGTCTCAGCTGTGTGGTGGCCATTTTGGCTGCCTCTTCTTTGTGTCATGGCTTAGAGAGTAATAGTCTGGGGGCTCTACGGGGGAATTGTGTTCTCCCCTGGAACCTCACAAAGCACTTCTCCTTTGCTTCACCACCCCTCCAAGGTGGTTTTGGCTCCCTCCAGAGCCCACGAACATGCAGAAGCCAACACAGGGTAAGGAGAGCTCCGTTCCCTTGCTGTTGCTATTGCTGTGACATCACTACCCACAGCAATATTAAAAACCTCCCAAATCCTTCCATAATTAAATAGGTGTCAGGAAAATCAGTAATAGAGAGTTTCAGAAATGATATAACATTCAGAACAGTGATAATTCATCTTTTTATTTATTAAACAAGTGAAAAAAAAAGAGAAATAAATATATAAATTTAAAACAGAATATGAAGCTACCATTATAAAACAAAACTAATACCATAAAGATGCTTTCTCAAGAGGCAACTGGACTTTCTGGTTTTTCTTTGAAGACATTTTCACTACTGATTCAAGAAGCTCAGTCAGAGCTAACTGGATAGTGAGGAATGGAAGGATTTATACTCCTTGAAGTCAACTGGACATTTGCATTCTTTTAGTGAGTTATTGAGGCCACCTGGAGGTTTATCTGTGTCATCAGGGGCAGGGATATGCCATCATCTATCTCCAGTCTATCTCCAGTTCCAAGAAGGCTCCACTGCCAGTAGTGGGATTCAAATTTTTTTATTACCGGTTCTATGGGCGTGGCCTGGTGGCTGCTTCTTCTGCTTTTTTTTTGCTTTTTTGCACCCCCCCCCCCATTTTTGCCTTTTGGGCCCCCTAGAAAGCCCGGGGGGGGGGGGCATTTTTGCTCCCAGAAGACTCCTCTGGGGCTCAGGAAGAAAAAAAACAGAGCATGGGAGGGGCACGCAGCACCCTCCACGCTCCATTTTGGGAGATTTCTGGCCTCAGAAGAGCTTCTGAGGGGGCGTATTTGCTCCCAGAAGGCTCCTCTGGGGCTCAGGAAGAAAAAAAATAGAGCATGGGAGGGGCAAGCAGCACCCTCCACACTCCATTTTGGGAGTTTTCTGGCCTCAGAAGGTGCGTTTTTGCTCCCAGAAGACTCTCTGGGGCTCAGGAAGGCAAAAAAATGGAGAGGGGGGACTGAGCCCCTCACTCCATTTTTTGCCATTTTTTCCCCCTCCTGGGTCTCAGCAAAGGGAATCCCAGCACAGCTGATTTTATGAACAGCTGATTGTCGGGAGGAAAAAAAAAGAAATACCTTAAGGGGTGAGTATCAGGCAGGCAGGGTGAGCGAGCATCAGGTGGGTGGGGCAAGCGAGCCAGCAGTGACTGGGTGATCGGGTCGGGGGCGTGGCCAGCCAAAACTTACTACGGTTCGGCGACCCATGCCAAATCCTTGCTACCGGTTCGCCAGATCCGGTGCGAAGGGCTGAATACCACCACTGCTCTACACCCATTTACACTAATCAGGTGACCCTGATGACACAGATAAATCTCCAGGTGGCCTGAATGATTTGCTAAAAGAATGCAAATGACCAATTTTCTGCAAGCAGTATAAATCCTTCTATTCCCCACCATCCAGTGAGAGCTGAAGAAGCTTCTTGGAAGAGTAGTGAAATGTCTTCAAAGAAAAACCAGAAAGTCCAGGTGCCTCTTGAAAAAGCACCTTTGGGACAATCATGATTTGGATGGCTGAGAATCTCTATAGACAAAACTAATATCACACACCCCTTATCTAGCAAATACTTTAGTTCAGTGCTTTCCAGGGGTGGGATTCTACCAGTTCATACCAATTCACTAGAACCGGTTGTTAACATTCTAAGCAGTTCAGAGAACTGGTTGTTAGAAGAAATTACTGGCCTAATCCTGTAAGGAAGGCAGGAAGGAAACATTCTGGTGTTGCTTACAGAAACTTCCTCTCCATTAACCCTTATTACATTCTTGGCAGGACTAGACTTCCTGTCTCAGGAACTTCTCTGGAGTTTTTTTCCCCCTTCTTTGCTGGTACTTTGCTTGTGTAGAGTGACCGTTCAAAGTTACAATGGCACTGAAAAAAGTGACTTATGACCCTTTTTCACACTTATGACTGTTGCAGCATCCCCACAGTCACGAGAGGCCATGCAAGGAGAGGCGTGCCTCGATGTGAGTGATGTTGAGTTGGCCATACCCAGTCAGTAACATGACCACCAAGCCATGTCCACCCAGTCACATGACCACCAAGCCATGCCCACCAACTAAGCCACACCCACAGAACCAGTTGTTAAAAAATTTGAATCCCACCCCTGGTGCTTTCCAAACATTTTCCTTCATTCTCAAACTTTTCTATCAGAAGATCCTTTTTACCCAATATTAGTAAACCACTTTAAATAAATTGGAATGTCCTGGCTGTGCTTGGGCTATCCTTTCCTATGTCACTTTTTTCCAATTTGGCAATTTATCCAGATTTGGGAAGTGCTGTTTTAATTCTTGGCTATATACAAATAGGTACCTGTCAATTTTTTTTTGAAGAACATCCAAAAACTCCTTACAGTTCACAATGTTGTCTGGCAATCCAATATTGAATGCATGATCTTTTGCCATGTGATTGAGAAGAACTGACCTACAAAATAAAAGAAACAGAATACAGGTGTCTCTTTTTCCCCCTTCTACTTACATTCTAGGGCACAATTAAATATATTCAAATGAAAACCATAATGTTTGGAATTAAGCAGTGCTGCTAGAAGGAAGGTAGTATATCTTTTTGCTTAGATTTCTAATTTTACTGTAAACAGCTATCAGCTGGATCTCCAGCATGGGATTCTACTTTGATGCATGCTTGCTATTGATTGCCAAAGTAACGGGGGGGGGGGGGGGGGTTTGGGATGGGGAAGTGAGCTTGTGAGGTGAAATCCCATGTGAACTAAAAGAGAGGTTTGCTCTCAAGAATTATTGTGCTGCTGAGTGGAATTTACACCCTGTCAAGGACAATCATCCTAGGATTCCAATTAAAAAAATATTTTTACATTGTAAAAAACATCTCTTTTGGCAAACAGTGTGGTTCCAGGTTTTTACATTTCAATACAAACATGACCATAGTTACATATTCGTCTTTCTTATTCAATTTCATATCACATTATTACTTATTCTATTTTCCTTTAAATATTCTCAAATATTAAATTCATTATACTTATTTTATCCAATTCCCGTTCATATCTTAACTTATTTCATATTAACCTTTCCATTACAATTCTCATAATTCATCTTAACTTTATTCATTGCTTTATTAAATATCAGTTAATATTGTTATAATAAATTCCCATTTCCATATCTATTTCAATAAAATCTATATCCTGTTTAATAATCATCCTTAAAGAGAAAAAAAAAACAGTTCCAGTCTTATCTATTTTTAAATCCTTATTCTTATATACCACAACGAATTACATTGCAGAATCTACCTCCCTATTCTTCTACCCATTGTTTGCTTAAACGTTTATTGGAAGTAAAAACCTACATTTTACTATACAGTGTATCTGTGTGCTGGTTGTGTGTTATTCTTCACTACTCTCACTACGTCTCCCTGTGTGCGCTCATTCTCCTAACGGGGAATTACCTCAACACCCCCCGCCCCTCCCCCCTGGAGATCAGATTGGCTCCTCTGTGCTGTTCTCAACAAATTCCTAAAAACAAGATTCACCTCTGTGCGGAGAAGCTTTTTAGGAGCATTGGGTGGAATAATGCATGAAACAGACCACTAGACTCTGTGATTTTATGTTGTCCTCAGACATGGCGAATTGTAACTCCCATAGGGTTACAATTAACCTATCGGGTAAAGTCAATGGCTAAGGATCAATGAAAGCCAATAGCTGTTGAGTCATATGTTTTGCACTTTTGCTATAGGCTACTAATTTGTAAGCATAATATAACAACAATGTCTGAAAACTGTTCTGTGATATCCCATCTGAACTTTCCCCAATTATCCAGAATTAGGATGCTCATGAACATAAAAACACCACTGTAAAATGTTCGGTACTAACCTGTTACCCAAAAAAAGCTGTTCACAAAATATGCATATGCCATGAAAATCTGCATCATATCTTTCTTGCTGCTGTTGATCCAGAATACTTTTCTATTGATTGAAAAACAAAACATTCCATCACATCTTTAATAAGAACCTGTTGCAAGTATTCCTAAAAAAATGTTGCTTCTTCCATTATTATAATATAATGTTGCACTGTGCTAAACTGTATACAACATATTCTTGTAATATAGTGTATAATATGTGGTGCAATATCATTTGACCATTGGAAAAAAGTTTTTGCTCTTATTTATTAAGTAAATATATTCCTATAGTACAAAGTTGCAATAACAGAAACAAATAAAGACTGAACAAACTAGGCATTTTGAATGCAAACTGAAGAACCCTCCAACTCCATTAAATCCTAAAAATAGTTAGAAGATCTGTTATACAAATATGACTCGATGGACTTCATCTACAAAACAAGTTAGTTATTATGTCTGTCAATGGAAGCTTGAAAAGTAGGCGGATTGCTGTGAAAAAAAGTAGGGTGCCTTTCTATTTACCACAGAGGGATTGTATGGAGAAAAAGTATGTCTTGTATTTTATTAGATATCACTGCATGTCAATGCAAATTAAAAATCCCCACATGCACAAACATAAATCAATTTTATACTCTTAAAAATATGTTTAAAAGCAAAAAGGCATCCCACTATTTTTAGTACTGTTTCTATTCCTGCTTTTATTTTTTTTACTGCTTTTGCTGGATTTTACAGCTCGGTACTCAGTGCTTAGCTACATGTTGTTTTGGGCAACAAACTGAGTGTGAGAGAATCAAGGTATATTTTGCCATGTAAAACCAAAGGAATAAATCATTTATATTTCAGTAATAGGAAATGATCAAGAAATGGGCAACCGGGAGTGTTGAAGATATTTAGATTTATATAAAGACTGTAGGGTACTTGAAATTAAAATGCTTTACAGATAAACCTCTATCCCAAAAGAAAAACTCAAAGCCATCAAAATGACTGTAATATCTCTGTAAGACTCCTATTTATTCACACTGCCTTTGACCATTTTGATAATGGGAACAGAAATAATTCAAGCCTATTCATGTTGTTTATAAAGGTCTGATCTGCTTCCATGTACCAAAGTTTCTCTCCTCTAATGTCCTACTAGCCTTGACCTTTCATTCTTGCTGCTTCTGTTTATTTACAAAGGAAGAGGATGACTGGGTAGAACACCATTGAAGACTAGTTTTACATATGCATGTCTAGTTCTCAATGGCTGCAAAAACAGAGATTCACTAATGAGAAAATTCCACACCATTTGTTCCTTCACACAAACAACTCCACTGCTATTTCATCAGGAACAAATCATGCAATGAGCTGAGAGGCACCATTCTGAGAATAGTTTTTGTGAAAGATTCACAAAGTTGAGCTCTGTTCTTTTACTCTGCCTGAATTGCCATTTCTCCATTTCTATTCAATGAAAATGGTAAAACACAAACACATGCACAAATCAGTTCAAAGAAGACCAAGGGAGCAAAAATCTTTCTTTTTTGGTTGTTTGTTTTGAAAAGTTTTATGACATATAAAAAATTTCGTTTCTATTTAAACAGTGCGTTGCCTGTTTACAAATAATTTGAGAAATAATAATTATATTTACCATAATATTCATTACATTGGTATTGGTCTTATAATAATATTTACTTATCCATTTTAATAAACCTTCCTTATAAAATTGATCCTTCTCTTATATTTCCATATTTCTAATTTCTGTTTTTATTGCCTAGCCATTGATAAAATGAGTCCCATGTTAAAAAGTATTGTTTCTTCCTTTTCCTTAATTTTAAGTGTTAATCTATCCATTTCTGCACATTTTAATATTTTTATTTAATATATATAAATATATAAATATTTAATATCTTCGGTTTTCAAGATGGCTGCGCACATGGATGCTGCGGCTAACCGCTCCTTCTTTCAGTGTATGGTGAGTATGATTCTGTGTGTTTTGGGTCCTTTCCTTGATTGAATCCTGTGAGGCAAGGAACATCTATAGTCGGCAAGCCTTGTTACAAATTGGACTGAAATGTGAAAAGGCTATTATGAATGATTTTATACATTCTCATAACATACCGAAGGAGGCAGCTAGGCCCCTGGGGGAGCCATGGATCACTAACCCTGTAGGAAGGAGGAAGAGGCAGAGAAAGAAGAACAGGAAGAGGAAGAGAGGATGCCGTGCTGGGGTTTTCTTTAGGCTGAGTAAGTTTCCACACAAGCCTTCAATTCCAAATATATTTCTTACCAATGCAAAATCTCTGACTAACAAAATGGATGAATTAAGGCTACAGATTGCAAAGACTAAATTCATCAAGAACTGCTGTGTTTTGCTAATCACAGAAACTTGGCTTCATTCACTCATTCCAGATGCAGCTGTTGAGCTGGAAGGCTACATAGCTCACAGGCAGGACAGGAGTAGAGATTCTGGCAAGATCAAAGGGGGAGGTTTAAGCCTTTATGTGAACAAAAGCTGGTGTATCAATACAAAGACTGTAGACAGCCACTGCTCCATGGATCTGGAGTATATGACTCTTAAATGTAGACCCATATATCTTCTGCAGGAATTCAGTGTGGTTTTGATTACTGCAGTCTATGTCCCATCTGATGCCAATACGATAGCTTTGGGATTCTTGTATTGTTAGTAATCAGCAGAATAAGTATCCTGATGCTGTGCATATCATAGCAGGGGACTTTAATCAAGCTGATTTAAAAGAAGTTCTCCCTAAATTCTATCAGCATGTTAAGTGTGCTACTAGAGGAGCAAACATATTGGACAAAGTATATACCAACATCAAACATGGCTATAAGGTTATACAATTACCACATTTGGGACAATCAGACTATATGTCACTGCTTTTAGCACTTACATCCCTGTTAGGAGACGGGCTCTGCCTATAATAAAGACAGTGAAATCTTGGCCAGAAGATGCTTCCCAACAACTTCAGGATTGTTTTGAGAACACAAATTGGAACATCTTTTACCACCCTGACCTAGAGGTGCACAGTGCAACTGTTCTGTGCTATATCAAACACTGCACAGATACTATCACTGTGGATAAACGTATTAGGATCTATCCCAATCAGAAACCCTGGATGACCAAGGAAGTCCAGCACCTCTTGCATGACAGGACCAAGGCCTTTAGGTCCGGTGATGGGGCAAGATACAGTGCTGCCAGAGCTAATCTGAAGAAAGGTATTCGGAAGGCTAAGACTGATTATAAGAGGAAGATTGAGGATAATTTTTATAGCAATAACATGAGGCAGGTGGGGCGAGGGATTCAACAAATTACCAACCATCAACTGACCAATGTCATTCCTGCTGAGGGGGATGCTTCATTGGCAGAGGAACTGAATCATTTCTTTGTTCGCTTTGAAGTGGAGACATCAGAGACAGATAAAACACAACTACCAGCCAACTGTAGCCCCCACCTCATTGTGGAGGAACATGTGGTGAGGAGCATTCTGAGGGCTGTGGACCCTAGAAAGGCTGCCGGTCCTAACGGTATCTCTGGGCGAGTGCTTAAAGACTGTGCTGATCAGTTGGCTGGAGTCTTTACCAGGATCTTCAATCGGTCTTTATCCCAGGCCACTATTCTATCTTGTTTGAAGGCTTCCACCACTGTTCTGCTGCCAAAGAAGTTCCCTATCAATAACCTCAACGATTACAGACCAGTGGTACTCACTCCTATGATCATGAAGTGCTTTGAGAAATTGGGCTGCCAGTACATCATTTCTGGTCTTCCGCATACATTTGATAAACACCAGTTTACATACAGAAAAAATTGATCTACAGAGGATGCTATAGCCATCACTCTTCACACTGCTCTGACTCATCTAGAACAGCGGGGGAGCTATGTGAGGATGCTTTTTGTGGATTTTAGTTCTGCGTTTAACACAATTCTTCCACATAGACTAGTGTCTGAACTTCTGGACCTTGGGCTTTCTAATTCAATCTGCCTTTGGATCATGGATTTCCTGTCTGGCTGCTCACAGAGGGTAATTGTACCTCTTCAGCCCTTATTCTTAACACTGGTACACCACTGGGTTGCGTGTTGAGTCCCTTACTCTATACTCTTTATGTGCATGACTGCATTCCCACTCACGCTAGTAATACTATTGCTAAATTTGCAGATGATACAACAGTGGTGGGACTTATCTCTGAGTGGGATGAATCTGCCTACCAAGATGAGGTGGACCGGGTGCTTTTGTGGTGTGTAGACAATAACTTGGTCCTCAACACCGATAAGATTAAGGAGCTTATAGTGGATTACAGAAGGAACAGATCAGACATCCAGCCCTTGCTTATCAATGGAGACCGAGTGGAACAAGTGGCCAGTTTTAAATTTCTGGGTGTTACCCTAAAAAAAGAGGACCTGACCAGGGGTACCCACATTGCAGCCCTGGTCAAAAGGGCCCAGCAGAGATTATACTACCCGAGACTTCTCAGAAAACAACAACTGAATGAAAAACTGCTGGTGACCTTCTACCGCTGCACCATAGAGAGCATTTTAACATACTGCACCTCTGTATGGTTTGCCAATTGCACAGTGGCAGATAGGAAAACACTCTAGAGGGTTAACATCATTGCCCAGAAGATCATTGGTTGCCCTCTCCCCTCTTTGGAAGAGCTTTATAGCTCCTGCTGCCTTAAGAAAGTTCAAAACATTCTCAAAGATCCATCTCATCCTGGGAACCCTTTTTCTGAACTATTACCATCTGGCAGAATAACAAAAACAAGGACAAATAGGCTGAAAAACAGCTTCTATCCCAGGGCAGTAGCTCTTTTGAATTCTGCTGTATAATGCAGTGTTGGTGTGGTGTCAGGGGTTTCCGGTTCAATGTGTGAAGGGTGAAAGATGTGTGTTTGTGTTTATGGTCATGGTCATGATATACACTGAAGATGGTGCTTGATTTCATTGTGCGAGGTGCAATGACAATAAAGTAAACTAAAGTAAGGATTTCTTCATTTTTCCATTGTTGTGCAAGTACAATTCTAGCTGCAGTTAACACATGTAAAATCAAGTATGCATTTCCTTTATTATATTCTTCCGGTAAGATGTCCAACAAGAATATTTCCGGTTTTAAATCTATATGTTACTTTGTCATTTTTTCCAACCATGTATGTATTTTTGTCCAATTATTTTTTTGCCCTTGGACATGTCCACCACATATGATAATACGAACCTGGTATCTGATTACATTTCAATATTTTGCAGACATGTTCTTAAACATCTTTGCCAATCTTGAGGGTGAAAAATGCCATCTATAGAACATTTTATAAAGATTTTATTTATATGCAGTTGACATCATTAATTTATAATTCCTGTCCCACAATTTCTGCCATTTATCTAATCTATTGTATAACCAAAAATTTTGGTCCATACTATCATTGTCTCCTTTACTTGCTCCCCTTTCATTTTAATACTCAATAGATAACTATATATTTTAATTAGTTTTTCACCCATCCCTGTTAATATCTGATCTAGTTCTATTGGTTTTTATAAAAACCATATATTTTAGCATATTGAGATTGTATCTGCACTTGTGGCCACCATGTTATATCAATCCCTTGACTGTTCAATTCTTGCTTAGTTTTAAGCTCCCCCTCTTCATTCAAAATATCTTTATATCTTGTAATTTTTTCCATATTAATAATATTTGGATGTATCAATGTCTCCATTGTAGAAAGACAGACTGGTATTTTCAAATAGCGTTGTTCTTTAGTTTTTGCCCATACTAGCAATAGGTGTATTTCTAATATAATGTCTTTGGAAATAACTATGCATTTTGTTTTTCCCACACCATAAAAAGGCATGCCACCTCAGTTGAACATCATGTCCCTCCAAAGTTAATAATCTTTTATGCCTCAAACTAATCCATTCTTTCATCCTTTTAAGTACTGAGGCCTGATAGTACAACTCCCAGTCTGACAGTCTGTAGTGCCTTTTATATATGGGAGGAGGGCTTTGCCGTTCTCTTGTTCTCTGTCTTGGATTTTGGTTGGGGTTTCTTTTTGGATTAGGTGGGTAATCTTCTTTCTTTGGAATCCATTGGCTGTTAGTACATTGGTGAGAGTGTGTAGTTCGGTTTTTAGGTGTTGTTCGTCGGCTAAGCATTTTGTCACTATATCTATAAATATTAAAAAAAGAACCCAAAACATAGTGATATAGCCACTGGGCTAAATTTTCTTTATTAAACTGTTATGGTCAGTCTGTAACATATTATTGAAAGAGAAGATCTAGAAGTTGTTGACTTCCATTTTATATGTATAAATCATTTCACAATCTCAATATATTTAAACAAAATAGTATCTTACCAGTCTTTGTTGTTGAAGTTTCTCCCTTAGTTCTCTGTCTTCAGGTAAGGCATCACATAAAAGAAAATAATCGTCCTGATCCTCTGTTACAAAGTAAAGATAAGTATCAAAGCAAAATGTGTAACTTTTGTTAGTATACTAGGATACTTCTTAAATGACACATTGCATTGAGGCCTCAAATTATGCAAATATGAAAGGATGAAGTGGTCATTCATCCTACTCTCCTATATAGATAAAAGCAGAAGAGGGAGCTGCAACTGAAAATATATTTAAATCCTGGGAAATTAGAAAGCAAAACAAAGGCATTCAAAACAACTTGTTCCTTAATGGGCTAGCTATAAGTTGAAATAGAGGAGAGCTTGTCAGGCTTTCAAGATTGAGTTGCGATGCCCTAACCACATACACAGAGGCTGTGTGGCTTCTGAAGCAGGCCCCAGTTTGGGAGGGGCCACAATTCATTTTGGCCATTCCGAAACAGCTTCGCTTCCAGAACATCATCAGATGGCCTTGTACTGTATAAAAAGGCTGATGGATGGATCAGCTGGTTGTCTTTCATAAAGCAATCTCTTCACGGAGATGGGGAGGACTCAAAAAGCAATCCATGTGCATGTGCAGCAGCCCTGGGACATCTGCCCGAGCTGCGCCACAGCTGCCACGTGGTAGGGAAAGCTAGGAGAGTGACTGGGGCAAGTGAGCGACCGGGCGACTGGGTCGAGGGCATGGCCAGCCAACTGGTTGGGTGACCCATGCCAAATAACCGCTACCTGTTCGCCTGAATAGGTGCGAACCAGTTGAATACCACCTCTGCCTTCAAGCAGTTTATGGAAACAATCCTCACTGCTTGCCTTAAAAATCTTGTTTCTATGATTCCATAATTCCCTGATTTCCTCCAAGACACAGATGGCATAGTTCCTTTTAAAAGAACAGTCAGATTAGCTAATATGTGTACAGACATATAGCAGGTACATGCAGGCAAGAAGACACTAAGATTGCTGTTGGAGATTTAGTTTAGCTATCCATAAAGTGTTTTTACTTTTCTCCAATCTATCCAAAGAATAAGTCTCAAAGTTTATTGGCCTATTTCCTATCACAGATCAATACAGCCCTGTGGTTATCCATTTGCAACTGCCTACCCCAGGCAAATCTATGGAGATTTCAGTCTCCGTGTCATAGTTGTCCCAAAGGTGCTTTTTCAATAGACAGCTGGACTTTCTTTGTTCTTCAGTTTTGAACATCTTGATTTTTTTCTCCATGGGTTCTTCTTTTCAACTTAAAGTGCAAAACCTGATCAAAGACTTAACTCATTTTAATTATTTGATTTCCAAATAGATATTGGTGAGAAGATATGCCCCCAAATGTGACTATTTCCTGCTGCATTTCAATTCCTAAAGTACTTTGGGAATCACAATAAAGTGTGATTTAGGCTTTCCCAATCCTATTCATATATCTTTAACTTTATGGTATTTCACAGCCAAAGACTAAATCAAAGGATTCATGGTACATAAGTCCTCAAACAGGTGTTTTTGCATGTAAGGTAATTAAGTAGATAATGTGTCACTTGGTGATTAGTAAAAACAGGGATTTTTCACATCAGGCCTACAAAGCTTCTATTACAAAACTCACTTACCTAAAGCTGCTTCAGAGTTTGTCCTTATTCTACAACAGAAGTCAGTAATAGGCTGTTCTGTGAATCTTTTCTTCCAGTACAAAACATACCTTCAGGGGAGAAAAATAAGAAAAATTATAAACAACTCTATAATTGTCTCACTATACAATTAATTAATTCTATTAACATTTAAATAAATAATTTTCCTTGCAGTATTTGGAAACTTCATTAGTACTACTAGTCTTCTATGAAGGCATTTCTTCAAACTAAACACTTTTGTTTAGCCATAATAATATACCCAACATGTGGATAAGATACAAATTGAGAATCCTTTGCTAAACATTTTTCAGATGAACAGCTTACACACAGAACCCTGTTTTTAAACATGTGTAGGAAGTTAGCACCCACCCCTCTCCAAGAAGAATGAAATACTCTAGGAAATATTAAAAAGGCAGAATATTATATTTCCCTGGATGAGAAATGGAGAAACATGTTTTTAGGCAGGAAGCAGACTCACTCTTAATAGCCCCCACCCTCCTCAATAGCCCACAGCAGATGTCAGCACTTAAGAGATAAAGAGATGGCTAGGTCTATTCATAAGCAAATGCCCTCACTCAAGATCCTTCAGGGCAAAGCCACTAAGCCATAATAGGAATTGCCCAAAGCCCCTTCATTACATCACCCAGCAAGATTCAAACAAGCTTGGGACTCAAAAGACAACCTGCAAAGTTACCCCTGCATGGCCCCATGGGAGTCTGACAACCAATCAGGATACATTTCTTGCCACAGGAACAGGAAGCAAGTTCAAAGCCCAACAGAGGTTATAAATCTCTCTCCCTCTCTCACCCATGTGCTTTTTTGCCCAGGACATCAAAACCATGTGGTCCTGTCCACCTTTAAACCATCTTTCCAAGCAGTCATCATGTTTCCAGTGTCTTTCTTCCCACTTGGAAATGAACCCAGAAGGATATTTCTTCCAATACATGGGAAACTTATTGTGTTGAATAAGCCAACTATTTAAAGGATTTTATTTGGTCTACATTCTTTCTTTTGCTTTAAGTCTTTAAGTCTATTTTGCTTTAAGTCTTGACATAAGCCTACGACATAAATGGATCCTTTGTGCAAGCTTGATCCCAACCCAAGCCTTTGAAAAATGTATGCTGTTATGAATGCTGAGCCTTACTTAGCAGTTTAATTATACAATAAAATAAATAATGAAAAGTTATGCAGGAGCCAGCTATGTGCCACAATACCATGTGCTACCATATGGCCTTCTATCTAAGAAGTCAACTTTTGGATGTATGTATACTAGAAATACAATATGCCAAGAAAAGGAAAAATGAATCAAATATTCCTAGTAGACCTTTATAAAATATATAGAAAAATCTGTTTGAAAACTATAGATAATTTGATTGTGTACATATTTTAATTTGTACAACAGAAGTGAAAGTAGGAAATTCCATTTGCTCATGCCAATTTACAATGCACAAGACATATCTGTTGAATGAACACTGCACACCTGTTCAACAGTTTAAAAATAAATAATATATTTGTTAAGCTCTGCTAAGGATGTGTTGGAAGAAATATCCTTCTGGGTTCAGTTCCAAGTGGGGAAAAAGACACTGGAAACATAGAGGCTATTTGGAAAGATGGTTTAATGGTGGACAAGACATGGCTTGGAGCTCCAAAGTTAAAAGAACGATCACATGCTTCAAGATGAAGGAAAAGGGAGGGAGGGCTGAGATACTGTAAATGCCTGGGTTTTATACCCTCTGTTGGGATTTGAATTTGAGCTTGTATCCTGATTGGTTGTCAGACTCCCATGGGGCCATGCAGGGGCAACTCTGTAAGCTGTCCTGAGTTCCAGGCTTGGTTGAGCCTTGCTGGATGATGATGTAATGAAAGGGCTTTGGGTAATTCCTATTATAGCTCTACCTGGAGATCTTTGTTATATAAAATATGCAGGCCTAGGCTAGAGTTATGACCCATTAGCAAAGGGGGGGGTGTGAGTTTCTCCTTCTGAGGTGAGTTTCTGCTTCTGAGTTTCTACTCTTTTTAGGGGAAATATTCTGCCTTTTTAATATTTCCTAGGATATTTCATTTTTCTAGGAAAGGGGTAGGTGATAATTTCCTACAGATGAAAATACCTACATCTAGAAACTACTTAATATAACACATGAGTTACATACAGAAAATATATTTTATTTTTAAAGAAACCATTCAGAAAAATTAGATAAATTATTTCTACTATTTTTATTTCTGTAGATTCTGTTTGTTTGAGCTCCCTTTATTTCAAGGGCAGCAGCTTCCTGATCTGTAAATGTGTTTTGTGTCTTGACATACGAAGATAAGAATATACTGTTTCTTTTGAATGATTTTATTCAGCTATAGTATTTTTAAATAAAATAACATTTTATTTAGATAAAAATCATGTAATTCAATTCTGTCACTAATGAATGAAAGCAAGTAGTAAAGGAAAGATTTTTGACTTTGCTGCCAGAACTGATATAAATGTTTAAAAACTGAGGTAAACTTTACATAAATCAGAACTGAATTCAGCAATAAAGAGAACAGGAACAGATTGGGACAAACTAAGTATGCAATTGCTAAGTGACAAAGCCACTAATACATATACACTTATAATTTCTATACAATATCTTCAGAAGGTATTGTTAGTATGATTTTCTTTCTTTCACTGTGAGTTATTCAGAAATATTGTGTTGTGGGGGTGCACTAAGGGAGGCTCAGCCAATCTCATTGTACACGTTGTGCATTGACAATAAAGGTTTTTGGGGAAAAGGTATATATTTTTATGTTATTCTATTTTTCATTTTTTGCAGGAGTTTCTGAATTCTACATTAATTTAATCCTACTTTATTATAAAATTGAGAATTTATCATATCTGGAATTTTAATTCCAGCTATTTTATCCCTTGTATAAATGAATATTTATCCCATCGAGTCTAATCCTTCTTCAATCTTTCCACACTAGAATATAGTTTTCTTCTAAAAAAATATTTAAAGTTTTGGATATTCTTAATCTTTTTAAGTTTGAGGAATATTCACTAGTTTCCACAACATCCCTGGTAAATTTATGAACATTCAGTAATTCTAATTTCTCATAATTAACACATAATGCCGATACCAGTGTACAACTGAAAAGTTTTATTTATTTACTGGGCTTATAGGTCACTCTGACTACAAATGATATTTAGTAAACAATCAGATGCAAGCTTCTGTGTTATCAGTAAAGAGACCTACCACTTTGTGGTTCACCTAAAGACAGTAATATGTGAAAAAGTCCTGCTGTAAGTGTACAGATAATCCTTGTCTTACAACAGTTCATTTAGTGACTGTTCAAAGTTACAATGGCATTGAAATATGTGACTTACGACCATTTTATACACAACCATTAAAGTATCCTCATGATCATGTGATCAAAATTCAGACATTTGGCAACTGACTCATATTTGTGATGGTTGCAGTGTCCTGGGGTCATGTGATCATTTTTGTAATCTTTTGACAAGCAAAGTCAATCAAACCAGATTCACTTAACAACCGTACTACCTCAATAACTGATTCACTTAACAACTGTGGCAAGAAAGGTCATAAAATGGGGCAAAACTCACTTAATAAATGTCTCACTTAGTAACAGAAATTTGACTTGTGGCCACAAGTCAAGGACTAGTTGCATTTAGGTATATCCTGCTTATTAGATGGGGAATAATTTAGTTGATGGAATTCCTCTAATACTCCCTTTTGCCTTTCAATAAATCTTGCTAGAGATTCTGTGAGAATGGTGCTTGAAAAAGAGCTATTGTATAGGCAGATAACTATTTATTTACTAAGGTTATTTTTTACGTTTCTTATTAAATTATTTTTATTTGTGTTTAAAATCACCTCCAAAATACTTACGTTTGAATACCTAGGGGTATCAAACTCGATTTCATTGAGGACCACATCAGGGTTGTATTTGACCTCGGGGACTAGGGTGGGTATGGCCGGGATGGTTGTGCCCAGCTCAACGCCACTCATGTCAGGGGCACCTGTGATAGCCAAGAACTTCCCTCAGTCCCTCCCTCACTCTCATCTCTCTCCTTCCTTCCTTCCTTCCTTCCTTCCTTCCTTCCTTCCTTCCTTCCACTTTCTTCCCCTCTTTTCTTATTTTTCCTTCCTTGCTCTATTCCCATCTTTCCTTCTTTTTCATTTTCTTTCCTCTTTTTCTTTCTCCTTTCCTGTCCCTTCTTGCATGTTCAAATGCAAAAGGGGAAACATTTCTCCTTTCGTTTTGTTTTTAGTTTGTTTTGCTAACCCTCTGCCAGCGAAAAAGGAGTTCAGGTGGGACCGCATGCATCCCTCCTGGGCCCCTTTTTGGCCGTGACGCCCTCCTGAAGCCCTCTGCCAGCAAAAACGGATCCAGCCCACGGGATGCTTAGATCTGGCCTGCAGGGCTGCACTGGAAATAGCAAAGGATCTGCCCGCGGTGCCACTGCCAGCAAAAATGGAGCTCGGGAGGGCCGCGTGAGCCCCCTGAGCTCCGTTTTTGCTAGCAGAGGTCGTCACAGCCAAACACGGGGCCTGGGAGGGCCGCACTCGGCTCTCCCGAGTTCCATTCTCACTGGCAGAGGCTCTATAGGCTGGTCCTTTGCTGCTTCCAGGGCAGCCACGTGGGCCAGATCTAAGCACTCCACGGGCTGGATCCAGCCCATGGGCCTTGAGTTTGACACCTCTGTTTTAACAGGATGAAATTTAAATATAAAATGGCAGAAAGTCAGAAAGAAATCAGAACCAAATATATTTTGTACTACTATGTAGAGTTGGTGCAAATTCATAGAATAATTTTAAAGTTCTGTTTCTCTTCTGGGTCTTCAGTTTTAAGTTTGGACATTTTGTTTAAAATTCCAAAATGTGGTCTACATTTGTACAATGGCCTAACTCTCCACTTTTTCATAACTAGAACTATTTGGCACATATATTCACCATGAGAAATTCTAGTCCTGTGTCTATAATATCCAGGATGGACTTTCACATCCACAATTCTAAAACTATGAAAAAATATAATTTTATTGTTTGCATGTATATTGATTATTAAGAGTTATCTGTTATTATTTCTCTTATTTAAACCAATTGTTAAAGTTTCCACTGATCTTCATCAATCCTCTTCTTCCATTTGTAGTGTACCAGCAGAAACAATGGTTGACATATTAGAATAAGATCATGGCATCTCTGTGCTAAGATCTATTACCTAATTTTAAGGAAACATACCTTCTAAAATCTGCAATCAGCTTGACCTCTGCTATGACAAATTTGTGTTTTGTGATCATGTGTTTCAGAATTTGATTTTGTTCTGATATTGGATAATATTCATTACAGAATAGACAAGGCACAGCTGGAGATTCTTCTTCAGCAGAAATGCCACATGCACTTTCTGGCAGGGAAAGTGGTTCCAAAATATAGTCTTGGTGGCCTGAAGGGAATAATAATATCAGGATCAGGATTAATACATAACACAAACATACATTTTTGCACGTACATTCTATCTGCATTTTTCTTGAAGTATAATCAATAATATAACTCATATATGCATAAACTCACATATGCAGGAATCTATTTTAAACAATCAAGCAGTGGTTTTCATTCTAGTGCCCAAGGACTGGTATAATGAATGGGAAAACAAAAACAGAATAGCTGTGTCACCATGAAATATATTCCTTAAATGTCTGTCATTCTGCTCCAAAATTCAACCCCCAACTCACCTTGCACGCCCAGTCTAAACTATAAGCAATGGGGACACAACTTGTTGCTTCCTGTTGTCATAGCCCAGAGAAGAAAATTCAAATAATACTTCCATTGCAAAACACAAGACAAATTATAATTACATCATTTTCAAAATAGCACTAACATTTGAGGCAATTCCATTCAAAATGGCTATATTCAAACCAAACCAGCAAGTATTGTCCATATTGAAACAAAACTCATGAAATATATACCGTTCTGAGTAAAATCCTTACTGTCTAACAAGGAAGAAAAACACATTTTCTACCAAATTATTAAATTCTTATTACTGAGCCACAATAGCACTCCTGGAAGCTACTGCTAAGGAACTGGATACTTTACTCTTTAATATGACAGATAACAGTCTAAATCAAAGGAAAATAAGGCCCTTTGGGCTCTTGGTTTAGTCAACTAATCCTTGAGAAATTATCTACAAAGGATCAGTTCAGGCCTCTGGGAATAACAATATCACCTTCTTCCAAAAATGGACTTAGAAGAAAGAGAAAGAAAGTGTCAACAATTTGAGGAAGAGATGGGGTTGCCTGAAAAAATGTGTTTCAAAGCAAGAATGTCTAATTCACTTTTAGCATAAACTCATAAACTATACAGATAGTCCTTGGTTTATGACCACAATTTGGACTTGAAATTGTTGCACTTGATTTCATAGTCTTTTTTTTACCATCATTATTAAGCAAATCCATCTTCATCTATTGATTTTGCTTGTTGGAAGCCCCCTGGAAAAGTCAGAAATGGAGATCACATATCTCCAAGATGCTGCAACAGTTATAAACATATGCTGATTGCCAAGGGCCCAAATTCTGATCATGTGACTACTGGGACAAATATGAGGCATGTTCTTAAGTTGCTTTCTTCAGCACCACTGTAACTTTGAACAGTCATTAAATGAATGATTGTAATTTCAATTCACTTGAATAAATATGGAATCCAGCGTAACATATGTCACATCCACATGCACAGTACTCCTGTCTTCTTGAAACAAACTCTTTTTAGGGAAAACCTAATCAAACATTATTCCATTTAATAAATAATTTCAAAATAGGAAAGGGCCATATATAATTAAAATGCTATCTTACAAAAGATGTATTCATCCTTGCACAGATGTCAGTTTTTAGATGGGTTTATCACTAAGCAAGCTTCACATATGAGGGGCTATGTTTTGATCCCTGGCATCCTCAGGTAGAAATGAACCTGTCTGCAGGATGGATTAGCTAGTCTAATTTAGAACAAGCCACATTTGTGTATATATGTTCTTTCAGATACTTCACCTAGTGGAATTGCAAAAGGCATACTTGTCAGAATTTATTTTGCTTCTCCAAGTGAGGAGAACAAAGAATGTTCAGGGTTTTTTTGTGTTTTAAATACTAGAAATATAATCCATTTACAATTCCCAACTTCCCTTATCCCTTAAATTCATCTTGGATCATGGCCACCTCCATGTATAATTCTTGAACTCTTGTATAATGTCTGGTTTAATGCTCAAACAGATGGAAATTGCATATCTCTGCTCCTGAAGAATGCCAGAAATTCTCAGAACAATCTCATCAAACAAGATTAGGCATGATACATTTTTTGTGATCCTCTCATTAATTTCTATTAATCTGGAAGCACCCATATGACTTTAGCAGATATTGCATTTGACTAAGTGCAGCAAGAAAAATTAGACCACCTTGTAGAAACCCAAAACCAAAAGTAAAAAAACCAAACTGAAACCTAGATTTTATTGTTCACAAACACTGGAAATATAGATGCAGATTATAATGGCATCTTGTAGACTTTGTGTTATAAAAATTTTCTTAAGAATATGATATATAAATATGGGTATTGATGTGCTTGTCAGCTCACCGTGTTGAAATAATTGTACAAAAACAATAAGCACATCTGCTGCATTATTGTCTTTCTAATTAAATTCAGCAGTTGAATGAATAAATTCATTAGCAACAAGCCTGCTTTATTATCTCATTAATATAGCTAGCTAGTACAAGAGATTAGTTGAAGAACTTGACAACAATACCCTAAACAAGGGACAAAAAGGAATGCATTACAAAGAAATAAACAGCCAAGAAAACAAATCAGTATAATGAGAAGAATGTCCCAAAGATGCATTTTCAGGAGGCAGCTGGACTTGTTTTTATTTTGAAGACATTTCATTCTCATCCAAGAATCTGGTTCCTACAGTCTGCAATTTTTCTCTGGAAATCCATTCCTACTCCCACACCATTCAAAGGGTGTTCATCCCAAATTGTATAGCTAAAAGTCTGTAGAGATTCTCAGTCATCCAGGTCATGGTTGCCTCCTGAAAAGCACCTTTGGGGCAACCATGACCTAGATGACTGAGAATCTCTACAGACAATGAGAAGGATGTTTTCCAGTAATTCTGAAACTCATATATTAAAAAGATGTGTATAACAAAAAAAAAGAGGGGGAAATGGTTTCTCTAGTATTTATCTGACCAAAAAAAAATATGCTTTATCGTACCAAATATATTAAAAAAGAAGAAATAATGTCGGTCAAATTGCTACCAAGAGTTGAGAGGGATGGAATAAAGATCAGATGATTTCTATGATCATTTTAATGAGATTGGCTTTATTACATTTCCATGATCCTGAAAAGGCCACCATTATGAAATTAGAATCCCTTCGAATTCTCCATCTGTTTTCTAAGTTTACAAAATTCCAAATATACATTCTATAAAGCAAATATTTTTAAGATCTGATTATTTTTACATTATAATGATAGCACGTAATACTTATAACTTAAGTTAACTTAAGAGAATAGAACTAGAGAATACATTAATATGACTAAGCAACTATGTGCAGCATTTATTGGAGAAATATGCTAACATACTTGCCTTATCTTTGCCTCTGGAAACATGTAAATTCTCAGTATCAGAGATTTTTGTGTGGCTTCTAGAATCTCTTCCTATCACAAATGTCAAAAATTGGTGGAAGTTTCTCTAATTTTTGAGAAGAAAAATACTCCCCCCAACCACATGTAGGCTTAACAGTTTCAAAAAAAAAAACAACTCGGCATATTCCCAATAAATCCCAAAAGATCATTTATCAATCTAATGTGTGCCAAGATTCACTAACTCTATACATCAACCTATCCACTGCTATCCAGACAACCTAAATCTGTGTTAGATTTGATTATGGGACAACAACTATGCTGTTTTATTGATATTTATAAAAAAGACAACTAAATTTATGTTAAATCCAATTATGTTGATTCCTGATAAGTACTGCCCGTTTCCTGTGTCTATTTATAATAAGGTAATGGAAAGGGACCTGAGACAAAGTGCAGAGATTTAGATATGGCAATTGTGCTTTCCACTGTACTTCAATTCTAGGGATTTTCCTAAATATTTGCCATTTTATGGCAGAACAACATGGTTCTATTAACCTGTTAGCATTTTGAGTAGTAGACATATGGCCTAATTACAGTTCTATCAGCTTAAAATAACTTTTCCTGCATTACCTTTAACTTGCTTGTGTCAGGTATGTGTAAGTATATATGAATGAACGAATGAAACATATATATTATTTGACAACATGGAATGGCTCCAAAAATTCTGGTGATTTGTCATCTTTGACTATGGATGAGGTTGTGCACCTAAAGACTGAACTAGTGTTCAATTTGGGGATTCTCCTGGGCTCATGGCTCCTGCTTGAGTAAGTGACAATCATAATTAAGAGAGGCCTTTAAGAGATCTGTCTGTGAGTCTATTGCACCCTTTCCTGGAACAGAAGGTCTTATACATGGTCACTCATTCCTTAGTCACCTCCTAGTTGGATTATTGCAATGTGCTGTATGTGGAGTTGCTCTTGAAGATCACTCAAGAGTTACAACTGATATAGAATGTGGCAGTGCATACCATATTGGGGTGCCATAGGTTTGCTCATATTACACTTTTATTGCATGAGTTATATTAGCTCCTAGGTCCTTCTGGATACAATTCAAGATGCTGGTTACAGTATTACCTTTAAAGCCCTACAAAACACAGTACCTGGTTATTTGCTGGACTGCAAATAACAATATCTCCTTGTCCTATTAGATCAGATACGGTGGGCTTGCTCATCTGAAATTTTGCCATTTGGTGGGAGATTGGTAGTGTAATTTTTCTGTGGCTGTCCCTACTTTTTTCCCACTGGTGATTTGATAGGTCCTTACTCTTCTAGCCTTTTAGAAGGCTGTTAAGACCTGGCTCTTTTGCTGGGAGGGCGGAGCTGCCGTCGCAGCAGGAAGACAGGGATTTGGGAGCACCCCGAAAGAACCGCTGATATCCCTGATGCTGGACGGTCCTTTTGGACCTAAACCATCCTGGAGAGACAGTAACAGAGGGGGACACACCCTGTCCCTGACATCGCAAAGTCCCTGGTTGATCCAGGAGAAGCTTCCTGAACAGAGGAAAGCGGCCATTAAGGCTGCTGGAAAGCTGGGACAGCTCCGGAACGAAAGGGAAAGTAGAAGGAAAGTGTGTCGGAACTGGGTGAGATTTTAAACAAAATCATTAAGGATTAAAGAGCAACCTAGGGGGAAAAGAAACTTTAAGAATATTGAAGACAGAAGAGAAAATTAGCGACGGGAAAGTATGTTTATAACTGTCAGATTTAATTAGGGCTATTTTATTATGTGTTTTAATAGAAAGATTAATTTTTTTTTCTTTTTAACTGGACTGGACTAATAATTTGGCAAAGACGAAGCTTTAATTTTACTTTTAAATCCTGGACTATTTTTCCCTTTATTTTGCTATTTA